CTGGACTATAGTCTAGTCTATAGTGTGGACTATAGTCTAGTCTATAGTCTGGACTATAGTCTAGTCTGTAGTCTGGACTATAGTCTAGTTTATAGTCTGGACTATAGTCTAGTCTATAGTCTGGACTATAGTCTAGTCCATAGTCTGGACTATAGTCTAGTCCATAGTCTGCACTATAGTCTAGTCTGTAGTCTGGACTATAGTCTAGTCAATAGTCTGGACTATAGTCTAGTCTATAGTCTGGACTATAGTCTAGTCTATAGTGTGGACTATAGTCTAGTCTATAGTCTGGACTATAGTCTAGTCTATAGTCTGGACTATAGTCTAGTCTATAGTCTGGACTATAGTCTAGTCCATAGTCTGGACTATAGTCTAGTCCATAGTCTGCACTATAGTCTAGTCTGTAGTCTGGACTATAGTCTGGTCTATAGTCTGGACTATAGTCTAGTCTATAGTCTGAACTATAGTCTAGTCTATAGTTTGGACTATAGTCTAGTCTATAGTTTGGACTATAGTCTAGTCTATAGTCTGGACTATAGTCTAGTCTATAGTCTGGACTACAGTCTAGTCTATAGTCTGGACTATAGTCTAGTCTATAGTCTGGACTATAGTCTAGTCTATAGTCTGGACTATAGTCTAGTCTATAGTCTGGACTATAGTCTAGTCCATAGTCTTCACTATAGTCTAGTCTGTAGTCTGGACTATAGTCTAGTCTATAATCTGGACTATAGTCTAGTCTATAGTCTGGACTATAGTCTAGTCTATATTCTGGGCTATAGTCTAATCTATAGTCTGGACTATAGTCTAGTCTGGACTATAATCTAGTCTATAGTCTGGACTATAGTATAGTCTATAGTCTGGACTACAATCCTGACAAGTAGTCCGGACAATGGTCAAGTTTATGTATAGTTTACAGTCGAAACTATATTCTCGTCTATAGACTATATATAGTCTGGACTATAATCAATTTTGTAGTCCGAACTAGTGTTTAGTCTAAAGTCTAATAATATTTATAAGCTTGATCTTTCAAACTAACATTCTATCATTTGTTGCCAACTGCCATAAAAATTTGAGAAACTGTAACTGATAGTTGGCAACACCAGCTAAAATTTTAACTTTTAGATTAAGTTTTATATTGATTTAAAACTATTTTTGAATTTAAATTTTTATTAATTATTAGCCGGCTTATGAAATAATTGATAAAGTCGGGACAAACATTTTTTTTTAATAATATTTTGTTTTTATTACGTTTTGTTTTCGAAATTCAATGATAAATTTTGGCAGTTTTTTTTTTTTTTGCTTTTTTTGCTTTTTGTCAACTGTTTCCAACTACTGATATTTTAATTTATACACATGTATATATTAAAAAACCAAAAAAAAAAAATCGGAAAGTTTTTATTTGTGTATTTTTTTTTTTATTTAATTTATTAAAACACATGTTGGCAAAATTTTGAAAAAAACAAAAAAATAACAACAACAAAAACTTGTATATTCCATAAAAATTAAATGTTTTTTGGGTTGATTTCAAATTTAAATAATCTGGTGGGCAAGCAAAGATCTAACAACAACAACAATATAGTAAGATGATGGAATTGAATGCTGAAGCGATGCTGATCATGATGAACATGATCATGATTATGTTGGTGTGTTGAGAAATGTGATTGTGTGTATTATTTTTGGTCAAAGTCACGAGATCTTTTTCTAAAGCAAAAACAATCAAATGGTTTTAAAATGTATTTTAAGATGAAAGTCCATTATTAGATGAATTTGGGTTTTTTCTTTAAAATTAAACAATTATTTTTATTTATTAGCATAAATGCGGTAAAAATTTTTACGATTTAATAGAATTTTTTAAATTTTTTTTGCTATATATTTTGCAAATAATGAGCTGATATCTATTTTAATCATATACCGATATCTTTATGATATTTTTTTAAGACGTAAGCAAATAATTTAGAAATTATGTTGAATTTTTTTTTATAAAATGTCACCTCCCCCGCCTATAAATACTTTTCATAGTTTGTTTTTTATTATTAAGCTTTTTTGACGCAATTTGTCTAGATCAGCTGATAAGAGTTTAACAGTTTTATGATCTCTTTTTTTTAGAAAAAAGTCTCTTTGTAGCACGATCACGTTGTGTTTTTTTGAAAATCATTCATTCAAAATTTTAAGTTTTTCTTCTTTGTTTTTTAATGACTCAATTTCATTCATTCGTTTTTTACTTCTTGTTTATCCAACTAACCGACCTATCCCTTCTTAAATCTACAGAAAACCAAAGAGTTATATAACACGATCTATAAAGATCGCTTATGTTTTCTTTTGAGTTGAAAAACTCAAACATTGCCTTTTGTTTTTAAGTGAAATTGTGTTCTGATTAGTGAATTTCTTAAAAAATATGTTGTAATTTTTATTTCATATATTTTTTTTTTCTCTCAAATAATTCAATTGTCTGAATTTCATCTAAAATTAAATAAAAGGAAAATTGTAACCTTGAATTGCCAAACTCAATCATGTGTCATGTCAATAAATTGCAAAAATTTCCCCCAAAAAAACAACAACAAAAAATTCATGTAAAAACGGAAATAAAATTTAAGCGCCAAAATTGTTTTTTTACAAAACAAATTTTTCTAAAATGTATTTAATTTTAATTGCTTAATATTTTCTGTTTAATTTTTTTTTTTTTCGCTAAAATAAAACAAAATTTTAAATTTAAAAAAAGTACTAATAGAATAACAAAAACATTAGCAAATTTATAAAAATAAAATTAGACTATATAGTAAATTTGCGTCAGAATTATAATGTTTTTTTCAGCATGAGAAATCATTTTAAGTAATTAATTATATTTTTTTAGACAGTAAAATAATAAAAAAAAAGAACTTATACCAAAAAACAAAATAATAAAATAAAACATTTTAATATTTGCAAATTAGACAAAAATAATAAATACTTTAAAATATGTTCAATTTAAATGCGAAAATTACTTAAATTACTTAATAACTGTTATTTGTATGAGTTGCCAATTCGTTTGAGCAGATCAGTTCTATGTCCTTTCCAATTCAGTTCTTGTAAACTGCTAGTTCAGTTCTAGTTAAGTTCTAGTTCAGTTCTAGTTCTAGTTAAGTTCTAGTTCAGTTCTAGTTCAGTTCTGGTTCAGTTCTAGTTCAGTTCTAGTTCAGTTCTAGTTCAGTTCTAGTTCAGTTCTAGTTCTGTTCTAGTTCAGTTCTAGTTCAGTTCTAGTTCAGTTCTAGTTCAGTTCTAGTTCAGTTCTAGTTCAGTTCTAGTTCAGTTCTAGTTCAGTTCTAGTTCAGTTCTAGTTCAGTTCTAGTTCAGTTCTAGTTCAGTTCTAGTTCAGTTCTAGTTCAGTTCTAGTTCAGTTCTAGTTCAGTTCTAGTTCAGTTCTAGTTCAGTTCTAGTTCTAGTTCAGTTCTAGTTCAGTTAAGTTCTAGTTCAGTTCTAGTTCAGTTCTAGTTCAGTTCTAGTTCAGTTTTAGTTCAGTTCTAGTTCAGTTCTAGTTCTGTTCTAGTTCAGTTCTAGTTCAGTTCTAGTTCAGTTCTAGTTCAGTTCTAGTTCAGTTCTAGTTCAGTTCTAGTTCAGTTCTAGTTCAGTTCTAGTTCAGTTCTAGTTCAGTTCTAGATCAGTTCTAGTTCAGTTCTAGTTCAGTTCTAGTTCAGTTCTAGTTCAGTTCTAGTTCTGTTCTAGTTCAGTTCTAGTTCAGTTCTAGTTCAGTTCTAGTTCAGTTCTAGTTCAGTTCTAGTTCAGTTCTAGTTCAGTTCTAGTTCTGTTCTAGTTCAGTTCTAGTTCAGTTCTAGTTCAGTTCTAGTTCAGTTCTAGTTCAGTTCTAGTTCTGTTCTAGTTCTGTTCTAGTTCTGTTTTAGTTCTGTTCTAGTTCAGTTCTAAAACAGAACTATATCAAAACTAGAACTGAACTAGAACTGAACTAGAACTGAACTAGAACTGAACTAGAACTGAACTAGAACTGAACTAGAACTGAACTAGAACTGAACTAGAACTGAACTAGAACTGAACTGGAACTGAACTAGAACTGTACTAGAACTGAACTAGAACTGAACTAGAACTGTACTAGAACTGAACTAGAACTGAACTAGAACTGAACTAGAACTGAACTAGAACTGAACTAGAACTGAACTAGAACTGAACTAGAACTGAACTAGAACTGAACTAGAACTGAACTAGAACTGAACTAGAACTGAACTAGAACTGAACTAGAACTGAGCTAGAACTGAACTAGAACTGAACTAGAACTGAACTAGAACTGAACTAGATCTAAATTATATCTAAACTAGATCTAAACTAGATCTGAGCTAGAACTGAACTAGATATAAACTAGAACTGATTATATTTTCATTCAAAATTGGCAATTCCACGGAGCTGCCAATAACGATGTTTTTTCTTGATTCATAAAAAGTTTGAGAAATAATTGCTCTTAATTGTAAAACTCATTAGTAACGCCTTTATGATATTATTAACAATTTCAATCACACCTTAAAAGTTAATAAACAATTTTTATAGTTTTGTTATTTTAATTATATTTTGTTAAACTCAACTACAGTAAAATTAAAAAAACACCAAAACCCGAGCGCAAAACCCCCCAAAAAATACAGTTTGTTGAAAAAGAAAACGAGCGTCAAGAAAAACAATAACAATAACATACTATTACCTTCCTTCCCTTTACATATCTTTCACCTAAAAGCTTTGAAAAAAAGCTTTTGCTAAGAAAACAATAACAACAAACCCCAAAGAAATGTAAACACTCAAACACACACAACAGAAAGCGGGCCCCCTTTGACTGCCCCTCGCTAAAAACACACACACTAGCACAATACTGAAAACAGCAGCAACAACAACAGTTTGTCTAAAGAACTAAAGCAAAAAAAAAACGACGAGACGATAAAAACTTTGGCGTAAACGATAGACAAGTGTCAGTTGGTCTATAGAACGCGCGCCAAATAGTAGAAATATATAAATTTAAACAAATTTTCTCAAAATATAAATAAATTACAATTTAACAAAAAAAATTTTTTAAAATATTACAAAAATTAATTTTCAAAAATATATAAAAATTGCAATCAAACCTAACAAAAACAACAACTACACACAAAAAAGCATTTCCGTAATATTTACTCAATTGCGGCGAAGAGTGTAAAAAGAGGAAACGATCGTTTTTTAAAAAAGATCAAGAAATATAAAACAAACAACAATAACAATAAGCTTAATACCACAAGCAAAAACAAAAACACAAGAATTTAAGAAAAAAGCACATTTCATTTTAAAAACTAAAGCATTTTAGAAATTCTTTAGAAAATATTGAAATCAGTTTAAATTCAAACATTTACGGCGACAGTCATATTTACCTTTTGTAAACGACCGATCGCTACACAAAAAAAAAAAAATTAAATAAAATAAATTTTAAATAAAAACAAAACAACAACAAATATAATTTATACAGCAACCATTTTGAAAAACTAAATTTTTTTATAAAAAAAACTAAAATGAAATTTTTAAGAACTTTACGGTAGAACATGAAATGGTTTAAACGTGTGCGTAAAAAGTGTATTTAATACTTTTTTTCAAACAAAATTTCAAATTTACAAAAACACGCGTCTTTTGTCTTTAAAAACGTCCAAAACCAAATAGAAAAAAGTTTTTTTCAAAAAAACTTTAAAAATTACGCTTATTTTTTTATAAAAAAAATACTAACTTTAAAAACTCTACTGTGTTAAGTGTTTAAATATAAGTTTTTAACTTTTATCTCATATAAATTATTATAAATTTAATTTAAAAAAAAAAATGCCTGCTGTACGTCCTACCATTAACCGTGAACGCAACGGTCACGTCCTGGTCTGGGATCAGAATAGCTTTAATGAGATTTTCGAAGAAAATCGTCCAAAAGGTGAATATTTAAATTATTAAATAATATTTAAAATAGTTTCCATATTGGCTTCTTTCTTTATTTTTTATATAAAGACATTTTTTAAAATTAGTTTTTTCACGTGCTTTTTTACGACACTTTATTTTGCTATTGCACAATAGACAGGCGACTCACTCACTACTCGTGTACAGTAAACAAGCTATTTGTTAGTGTCAGTGTGTGTGTGTGTGTTTAAAAAATAATTAAAAAACTTAACAACAAAAAAATGCTTAAACAAAAACGAACTATAAATGAGCTAAATTTGAAATAGAGAAGAAACAGCTAACAGTTCCACAGTTTACGGTTAAAACTGATCTGGAACAGAACTAGAACTGAACTAGAACAGAACAGAACTAGAACTGAACTATAACTGCACTATAACTGAATTAGAACAGAACTAGAACAGAACTAGAACAGATCTAGAACAGAACTAGAACAGAATTAGAACTGAACTAGAACAGAACCAGAACAGAACTAGAACAGAACTAGAACAGAACTAGAACAGAACTAGAACAGAACTAGAACAGAACTAGAACTAGAACTGAACTAGAACAGAACAAGAACAGAATTAGAACAGAATTAGAACAGAACTAGAACAGAACTAAAACAGAACTAGAAAACAACAATAACAGAACTAGAAGAGAACTAGAACAGAACTAGAACAGAACTAGAACAGAACTAGAACAGAACTAGAACAGAACTAGAACAGAACTAGAACAGAACTAGAACAGAACTAGAACAGAACTAGAACTGAACTAGAACAGAACAAGAACAGAATTAGAACAGAACTAAAACAGAACTAGAAAACAACAATAACAGAACTAGAACAGAACTAGAACAGAACTAGAACAGAACTAGAACAGAACTAGAACAGAACTAGAACAGAACTAGAACAGAACTAGAACAGAACTAGAACAGAACTAGAACAGAACTAGAAGAGAACTAGAACAGAACTAGAACAGAACTAGAACAGAACTAGAACAGAACTAGAACAGAACTAGAACAGAGCTAGAACTGAACTAGAACTGAACTAGAACAGAACTAGAACTGAACTAGAACTGAACTAGAACTGAACTAGAACTGAACTAGAACAGAACTAGAACAGAACTAGAACAGAACTAGAACAGAACTAGAATAGAACTAGAACAGAACTAGAACAGAACTAGAACAGAACTAGAACAGAACTAGAACAGAACTAGAACAGAACTAGAACAGAACTAGAACAGAACTAGAACAGAACTAGAACAGAACTAGAACAGAACTAGAACAGAACTAAAACTGAACTATAACAGAACTAGAACAGAACTAGAACAGAACTAGAACAAAACTAAAACTGAACTAAACTAGAACTGAACTAGCACTGAACTAGAACAGAAGTAGAACTGAACTAGAATAGAACTTGAACAGAAGTAGAACTGAACTAGAACAGAAGTAGAACTGAACTAGAACAGAACTAGAAATGAACTTAAACTGAACTAGAACTGGAGCGAAACTAGAATATAACAGAACTAGAACTGAACTGGAACAGAACTAGAACTAAATTAGAACCAAACTAGAACTGATTTTTAATTAAACTAGAACTGATGTAGAACTGAACTAGAACAGAACTTGAACAGAAGTAGAACTGAACTAGAACAGAACTAGAAAAGAACTTAAACTGAACTAGAACTGGAGCGAAACTAGAAGATAACAGAACTAGAACTGAACTGGAACAGAACTAGAACTGAATTAAAACCAAACTAGAACTGATTTTTAATTAAACTAGAACTGATATAGAACTGAACTAGAACTGAACTATAACTAAGCTTTAACTAAACTTGATCTGAACTAGAACTGAAGAATATTATTTCTGAAATTTTGCAGTATAAATACAATTAAGAATATCTCTAACTAAAAAGCGGAACAAAATATCCTGGAAAATGTATTACTTTTAATGAACATATCTCAAAGAATGACCAAGATATATTTGATGTTATAACTTTATATTAAAGCCAATGGATAATACTTACAGACGATATAACAAATTTTATAGGATCTGTTAGGATGGCATAAAAGAATCTCTGAAACCTCAAGGGTATTGTTTTTTGTACTAAATTATATTGATAATCAATCAAAAACAAAACAAATCTATTTTTATTTTAACTATTTGACCCTTAATTATAAACAAATTGAGTTATTATGTAGATTAATCAAAAAAAAAAAAAAAAAAAAAAAAAAAAAAAAAACTGAAACTGAAACTGAAACTAATTATATCATTTCTACTCAAAGTTATTCAAATTATTATAAAACCATCAATAAATATAACAAATAAACAATATTTTATTTGTTATTATCTAAGAAAACGTCAGTAATTTGAAAAAAATTGATTAATTATGTAAAAGATTGAAATATTTACTGTCCCCCTACTGCAATTGACACTTACTTGTCACATACAATAACGTTAAAATAGTTTTAAAGAACTAATAGAGAAATTTAATTAAAAATGATTTACTTTATTAATAAAAACTTAAAGTGACAATTAATTGAAAGTGTAATATATCAATCAATATAATTTATAAAAAAAAAGTTACAAATATATGAAATGTTATTGTTATAGATTTGAAATGAGTTGGCAACTTTGTTAGGTTTTAGGAATGTTAACTTGACTTGCGAAGATGACTTTTTGTTTCGAGATTAAATATTTTACTTGTCAATATTGCCAACTATTGACGTATATAAACGGAAATTGTTTATTTACATTTCTTCTCTTTTCTAAGGGTGTGTTTTAATCATTAAAATTCTTATTTATTTTTATATTTTCAATACTATTTAAGTAGACATTTAGTCAGCATTCTATTTTTCCACTTTTTTGTTCTATATTTTTATTAAAATTCTATAACTATGACATTAAATTGACGTAAAACTGTTTATTCTGTGATAAGCCAAATAGTTTAAGGAGTGTTTTACAGATTTTAGGAATAATTTCATCTTCATTTTAAAATCATCATCATTTGAAATTGAATTAAATTTACTTGGAAATATCATTTTCAAAACACTCTTCTTTATAATTTCTTTAAATTCCATGACTTAACAATAAATTTTTGTTTTAAATTCAAAATGATAAGAAATTATATTTTTGATAAATCAGCAAAAATAAATGTTGCAATTAACACGTGTGCAAAAATTATTATTAAATTTTTTTTTAAAGTGTTTTTGTATTAAAAACAACAATTTAATAATAAAACAAACTAAATCAGACAGTTTTGAAGTATGTTATGTCAGAATGAAACGAAACAAAAGTTGGCAATATCTTTAAGAGGTTTGACAACTTGACGTACTACTTATTATAAACAAATATGTATTAACTAATAAGACACTAATTACTTTAAACTTTTTTATATAATTTAGTAACTAAATTTGAAATTTTTTATTATATTTGCCTTAAATTCTTTTGAAATCTATAATTTTTATACAAATTTTCTTAATTTCCCAAAAATTTGTTACTTGGGTTTTGTTGTTGTATTTAGTTAGTATTATATTAAACAAATCATTTTAATATAAATAGAACAATATACAAGTTTGACTAATTGTTTATATAATCATCATAATAATGCGACATATGATAAATTGTTATATTTCCCCCCCAAAAAAATGACGTTATCATAGATAGTAGTTTATTATAATGAAAGACGTAATCTATTGTTCAATCTTACCTAGTAGTTATTTTACAAAATAATAAAAACCCAAAACAAAATGGAAGAGGGTCTCAAATAACCAGAATTTGGAATATTTACAAATTTTCTATAAAAAGAGGTTGGCAATGCTTTTCCGAAAACATTTATTAAATATAAAATAAATTTAATTATAAAGGAAAATTAATTTCAAAACAATTCTAAATATAAGTTGGCAATGGCATTCATTCAAAAGTTTTAAAAATATTAAAAATAATCATTATTTTTAATACATTTAATAAAAAAAGTGACTAATTTATAAATTTAAAATCATTTTAATAGATTTTAAATGTAGAGTTGGCAATGCGAAGTATTCAAATCCAGCAAAAATCCAAATTTCTCTATGCTAATGTTGTTTAAATGCCCTAAAAGACTTAAATTTAGATTTAAAAACTAAATTTTCCAAAATTTTAAAGTTTAAGTTGGCAATGCAATTTTCTTTATAAAGCTAAAATTATAGAAAATTTACATAATTTTTTATAAATTTTAGCAAATTTGACTAGAATTTTATCTTAAATACAAATTAAAATACTTTTTTCTAATATTTAGATTTTGAATTGGCAATGCGAACTTTTCCAATCAAGCAAAAATTTAAATTTCTTAATTCTAAAATTGTTTAAATGCTCTTAAAGTATTTAATTTAGATTTCAAAAGCAAATTTTCCAAGATTTTAAAGTTTAAGTTGGCAATGCAATTTTCTTTATAAAGCTAAAATTATAGAAATTTTCCCTAGTTTTTAATTAATTTTACCAAATTTGGCTTAAATTTTAACTAAAAGGCAAATTAAAACAGTTTTTTCTAATATTAAAATTTCAAGTTGGCAATGCGATTTAAAAAAAACTTACAAACAAATACATATTCCAGTGATATTCTGTACACACATTCCAGTGCTATGATGTAAATAAACATAAATAATGTTTTAAAATTATTTTTGAGAGATTTTCTGACTTAAGTTGGCAATGCGTTTTTTAAAAGTTCTTAAATAATAAAAAATTTTCGAAAATTTTAATAGGATTTTCTAATATTAAACCTGAAAATATTAATTAACATTAAATAAATGAACATATTGGCAAAATTTAACTTTTGAGTTGGCAAAGCCATTTTGCTAAATAACCCAATAACAGCTTTTTTTGAACTGTTAACGTTATATTTTTGCTAAAACCAAGTAAAAACTGTACTTTAAAACAATTTTAAGTGGATTTTACATATAAGTTGGCAATGCGAAACTGAAAATTAAAGGAAATTTACATTTATTTTCCAATTTTAAAGAAATTGTTTAATAAAATCAATTAACACATATAGCAATATAAAAGATTTCAAATTTTAAGTATTGAGTTGGCAATGCGATTTTATTAAATAACGAAATATTGTAGATTTTCAATTGTTAACGTTTAATCTTAACTAAAAAATATTAGAAACTTAATTTTGAAACAATTTTGAATGATTTTTCTATTCAAGTTGGCAATGCGAACATTAAAATATTCTGTTTTTGAAATTTTTTAATTTTTACTAAATAGCCTATTAATATTAACTTAAATAACATATTTCCAAAATTTAAATTTTAAGTTGGCAACGCATTTTTATGAAATAACAAAATAATCTAGTTATTCAATTGTTAACGATTAATCTTAGCTACAAAATATGTATTAGAAACTTAACTTTCAAACAATTTTATAATATATTTATGTTCAAGTTGGCAACTCAATTGTTTTCTTAGTTTCATACTTTTAACGGATTTCCCTTGAAGTTTAAATTTTACAAATCTTTTTAAATAGTTTCCGTAACTCACGACATAAACACGTGTTTTTATTTTAAAAAATTTTAAAAATTAAACAACTAAAAATAGAATAGAATAAAATTAACCCAACACACACATAAACAATTTATGTATAATCCATCCACCTTATCAAAATGCCGGCTATCCCAACATAATAATTTGTACAGATTCAAAAACATTTAATATGAATTATTTATGATCATAGCCCAAGGCATTATAAAGATAAAGTTGAAATTTATGTTTTTGCTAAAAATTTCAAGAAATAACACCCACAGCATTTTAAATTAGATATAAAAAAAACCGGCCAAAGATCTTTTCCCCCAAATTTAACACGTGAAGTCATGGGTTTAATTTTGAAATAATACTGTTTATTTGTAAACTATTTGATTTATTTGTATACGTATTTAAATAGCACTTAGCACTTTTTCAAAAAAATGCCATAATTAATATTCTATTAACATTAAGATAATTGTGCTAAATAATTTTTTTTTTTTTTTTTTTTTTTGTTTGAAAATGTTTTCTCTCTAAAATACAGTAGTTTAGCATTGTGTTAAAATCTAAAGGGAATTGAAAATACTACCTCTAATGACTAATGTGCTAAAATATTACTTAACACGCATTATTTTGTAGGGTTTTAAATTTCTTCTAAAACATTCTAAAACGTTTTAGTAATTGACAAACTATAATTCTAAAACAGATAATCTTATTGTTGTTTTTCTTATAAAATTTCAAATTTAAAAAACTGTTGCTGAGCTAAAACTTTAGCATCATGTTTACAATCAAATTTTTAAATCTTTTATAGAAATTGTTTATTTTCCAAAGCTAATTATTCAAATGACGTCTATATTTTAATTTATATTATTATCTCTATTTTAGGTCTCTTTCAAACCCGCTACTTTGTCACGTTTATGCTCTTTTTGGGCATGGCCAATGCCTATGTGATGCGTACCAATATGTCGGTAGCTATTGTCGCTATGGTCAATCATACCGCCATTACAGCCGGTAATGATGAAGTTGTTTGGGATGATGAATGTCCCGATTCAAATTATTCAGAAGTGGTAAGTTGTAACAACTAATGTTTTTAACAAAAATATATATCAAGTCTAAACTAGAGACTGATCGTAAGTCAACGACCTAAACTTCCCCATAGTCAAGACTATAGACTGGTATATAGTTTGATCTATAGTTAAAACTATATGATAATCAATAGGCAAGACTATATACTGATCTGTAGCCAAGTCTATAGACTAATCTATAGTCAAGACTAGAGGCTAATCTATTGTCAAGACTATAGACTGATCTATAGTCAAGACTATATACTGATCTATAGTCAAGACTATAGACTGATCTATAGTCAAGACTATAGACTGATCTATACTCAAGACTAGAGACTAATATATAGACATGACTAATCTGTAGTCAAGACTATAGAATGTTCTATAGTCAAGACTATAGACTGTTCTATAGTCAAGACTATAGACTGTTCTATAGTCAAGACTATAGACTGTTCTATAGTCAAGACTAGACTGAGCTAGAGATTAATATATAGACATGACTAATCTGTAGTCAAGACTATAGAATGTTCTATAGTCAAGACTATAGACTGTTCTATAGTCAAGACTATAGACTGTTCTATAGTTAAGACTATAGACTGTTCTATAGTCAAGACTAGACTGAGCTATAGTCAAGACTATAGACTGAGCTATAGTCAAGACTATAGACTGAGCTATAGTCAAGACTATAGATTGAGCTATAGTCATGACTATAGACTGATCTATAGTCAAGACTATAGACTGATCTATAGTCAAGACTATAGACTAATATATAGACATGACTAATCTGTAGTCAAGACTATAGACTGTTCTATATTCAAGACTATAGACTGATCTATAGTCAAGATTATAGACTGATCTATAGTCAGGACTATAGACTGATCTATAGTCCAGACTATAGACTGATCTATAATTAAGACTATAGACTGATCTGTAGTCAAGACTATAGACTGATCTATAGTCAAGACTATAGACTAATCTATACTCAAGACTAGAGACTAATATATAGACAGGACTAATCTGTAGTCAAGACTATAGACTGATCTATATTCAAGACTATAGACTAATCTATACTCAAGACTAGAGACTAATATATAGACATGACTAATCTGTAGTCAAGACTATAGACTGTTCTATAGTCAAGACTTTAGACTAATCTATACTCAAGACTGGAGACTAATATATAGACATGACTAATCTGTAGTCAAGACTATGGACTGTTCTATAGTCAAGACTATAGACTGATCTATAGCCAAGACTATAGACTGATCAATAGTCAAGGCTAGAGACTAATCTATAGTCAGGACTATAGACTCATTTATAGTCAAGACTATAGACTCATCTATAGTCAAGACTTTAGTCTGGTCTATAGTCAAGACTATAGTCTAATCTATAGTCAGCACTATGATCTATAGTCAAGACTATAGACTGATCTATAGTCAAGACCATAGACTGATCTATAGTCAAGACTTTAGACTGATCTATAGTCAATACTTTAGATTGATCTATAATCTTTAGTCTAGACTATAGACTCTATAGTTTAGATTTCGCCGCTTTTAAATGTTTATAATCTTTAAAATCTTTCTTTTTATACATTTTAGGATCATGGACAAGATGGTGAATTTGCTTGGGATTCTGCCCTACAAGGTTATATTCTATCATCATTCTTCTATGGCTATGTACTCACACAGGTTAGTTGTTTTTACCCCCCATAAAACCCTGAACAAATTGTAATAACTTTTTTCTTCCTTTAGATTCCCTTTGGCATGTTGGCCAAGAAATACGGTTCCCTCAACTTCCTCGGCTGGGGTATGTTAATCAATTCCGTTTTTGCTTTCCTCGTCCCTGTAGCCGCTCGCGAAGGTGGTGTCTGGGGTTTGTGTGTGGTACGTTTCATTCAGGGTTTGGGAGAAGGACCCATTGTGCCCTGTACGCATGCTTTGCTGGCCAAATGGATACCACCCAATGAAAGATCACGTATGGGTGCTGCGGTATATGCGGGTGCACAATTTGGCACGATTATCTCTATGCCCTTGTCGGGTTTATTGGCTGAATACGGTTTCGATGGAGGCTGGCCCTCAATTTTCTATGTATTCGGTGCTGTGGGTACAATCTGGTCGGTGGCTTTCTTGATCTGGGTCTATGAGGATCCTTCTTCACATCCCAAGATCGATGAACGTGAAAAGAAATATATTAATCATTCGCTGTGGGGTACCAATGATATTAAGGTTAGTTTCTTACTGCTGAGACTGTGAAGAGAAGTATTTTTAAAATTTTTTTATGTCATTTTAGATTCCTCCCATCCCCTTCAAAGCTATTTGCAAATCTTTACCTTTCTATGCCATTTTGTTTGCTCACATGGGTCATAATTATGGTTATGAAACTTTGATGACTGAATTGCCTACCTATATGAAGCAGGTGTTACGTTTCTCTTTAAAATCAAATGGTTTATTGTCTTCTCTCCCTTACTTGGCTATGTGGATCTTCTCTATGAGTATTTCGGTGGTTGCCGATTGGATGATCTCTTCAAATCGCTTTAATCATACTTCTACTAGAAAGATTATGAACTCAATTGGTAAGTTAAGGGAAATTAAAGAGTTCTGTCTAAAATTTTGACAATAGTTCTGTCTATAGTCTTGACTATAGATTAGTACTATAAATAGTCTTGACTATATATTAGTCTATGGTTTGATTATAGATTAGTCTATAGTCTTGACTATAGATTAGTCTATAATCTTGACTATAGATTCGTTTATAGTCTTGACTATAGATCTGTATATAGTCTTGAATATAGATTAGTCTATAGTCTTGACTATAGATTAGTCTATAGTCTTGACTATAGATTAGTCTATAGTCTTGACTATAGATTAGTCTATAGTCTTGACTATAGATTAGTCTATAGTCTTGACTATAGATAAGTCTATAGTCTTGACTATAGATTAGTCCATAATCTTGACTATAGATTCGTTTATAGTCTTGACTATAGATCTGTCTATAGTCTTGAATATAGATTAGTCTATAGTCTTGACTATAGATTAGTCTATATTCTTGACTATAGATTAGTCTATAGTCTTGACTATAGATCTGTCTATAGTATTGATTATAGATCTGTCTATAGTCTTGATTATAGATCTGTCTATAGTCTTGACTATAGATTAGTCTATAGTCTTGACTATAGATCAGTCTATAGTCTTGACTCTAGATCAGTCTATAGTCTTGACTATAGATCAGTCTATAGTCTTGACTATAGATTAGTCTATAGTCTTGACTTTAGATTAGTCTATAGTCTTGACTATAGATTAGTCTATAGTCTTGAAATGGATTAGTCTATAGTCTTGTCTATAGATTAGTTTATAGTCTTGACCTTAGATTAGTATATAGTCTTGCCTATAGATTAGTCTATATTCTTGACTATAGATTAGTCTATAGTCTTGACTATAGATTAGTCTATGATCTTGACTATAGATCAGTCTAAAGTCTTGACTATAGATTGGTCCATAATCTTGACTATAGATTAGTCTATAGTCTTGACTATAGTCAAGTTTATAGTGTTGACAATAGATCAGCCTATAGTCTTGACTATAGATTAGTTTATTGTCTTGACTATAGATTAGTCTATAGTCTTGACTATAGATTGTCTATAGTCTTGACTATAGATAAGTCTATAGTCTTGACTATAGATTAGTCTATTGTCCTGACTATAGGTCTATCAATAGTCTTGCCCTTATATCTGTCTATAGTTTTGCCTATAGATCGGTCTTTAATCTTGACTCTAGAAGAGTTTATAGTTTCATTTGTTTATGAGAGGTTTAGATTTTTTATTAATAATTTCATATTTCTCTTCTTTTAGGTCAATATGGTCCCGGTATTGCTTTAATTGCGGCCTCTTACACCGGCTGTGATCGTGTCTTAACCTTGGCCATCTTAACTATTGGTGTGGGTCTTAATGGTGGTATTTATTCTGGTTTCAAAATCAATCACTTGGATTTGACTCCCCGTTTCGCCGGTTTCCTTATGGCCATCACAAATTGTTCTGCCAATTTGGCCGGTCTTTTGGCGCCCATTGCCGCTGGCAATTTAATTCATAATCAGGTAATTTCACAACAAAATTGTGCTCCTTTTAGAGTAAAATCTAATCAGATTTCTTTCTTCTACAGCCCACAATTGCTCAATGGCAAAAGGTATTCTTTATTGCAGCTGGTATTTATATTGCCGCCGGTACCTTCTATAACTTATTTGCCTCGGGTCAACGTCAACCTTGGGATAATCCCGATAATGATGAAAAAGACTCAAATACCTTGGAGTCACAACATCAAACTAGTCCTCCCACAATTACAGGGTTACGCCCAGCCGCCATTACCGCCACCCAATAGTATATAGATGTAAATTAAACTAATTATTATATTATTTAACAACAAAAAATACAAAAAAGGCTAAGTTAGTAGTTGTTTTAGTTGATAAGTTTAAAAACTAAAAGTAATTAAAAAAAACCCCGAAAAATGAGAAGAAAGAAACCACAAGTTAAAGAAAGTTTAAAAGAAGGCTAGAAAAAAAAGACAAATTGAAATCAGGAATTACCAGGATCACAGTAAAATTTAAAAAAAAAATTAAAACTAAAAACAGAACTATTTAAGTTATTATTTATTAATTTTAAGTAAATAATTAAATAAAAAAAATCAAAAAATATAGCACGAAATGTCAGTATAATTTAAACCTAATTTTTATTATTATTTTAAAAAACAAATAAAACAAGAAAATGTTATTAAAAAAATTACCTCATTATTGCAAACAAAAGAAATTATAGACAACTTCATTTTGTAAATTATTTTGTTAAACGTTTTTTGTTTAAAAGAAAAGAAAACACTTCTAAAATTAAAACATTAAACAAATTTAATTAACTTTATTGTCTAACTACCATGTAGATTTCATTATTATTATTATAAATTATAAATATTAATTATTTTATAAAATTCTTTTCATTTTCTGTATATGTGATAGTTAAATCAAAAAAGAAAAAGCTGTTAATTTTTTATTAATATTTTTGTTAAATCAATTAAATAATGTAATTAAATGCATAATCTAACATAAGTGAAATGTTTAATTTTATTATTATATTTTTATTTGTAAATTTTATTTTTTTCTTTTTTTTTTTTTAAAAATGTTAAAAATATATTTCTATACAAAATTATTGGTATATTCGCATGAATTATAAGAGAAAAAAGAACAAAAGAAACAAGAAAAGATTTTTTTTATTTTTTACAAAAAACAAAAGACAATAATAAATTGATAATTTTTTTTTTTTTGGAAAAAGAAAAAAATTATTAAACAAAACCACAAACTAAAAATTTATAGTAGTTTTATTTTATCATTTAATTTATCTCGAAACGCGCTTTAAGGAAGGGCAATTTGAATGCCTTTGTTCATCATGCGGAGAATTTACTCTGTAACGATATTCGATCTCAAATGATTTTAAATTTCTACATTAAAAACATTTCATTTTCATGTAGTTTTCTTTCAGAAAGCATATTCGATAAATTCCACCGCAATTAGTCCAAATATCTATCTATCTATCTATCTATCTATCTATCTATCTATCTATCTATCTATCTATCTATCTATCTATCTATCTATCTATCTATCTATCTATCTATCTATCTATCTATCTATCTATCTATCTATCTATCTATCTATCTATCTATCTATCTATCTATCTATCTATCTATCTATCTATCTATCTATCTATCTATCTATCTATCTATCTATCTATCTATCTATCTATCTATCTATCTATCTATCTATCTATCTATCTATCTATCTATCTATCTATCTATCTATCTATCTATCTATCTATCTATCTATCTATCTATCTATCTATCTATCTATCTATCTATCTATCTATCTATCTATCTATCTATCTATCTATCTATCTATCTATCTATCTATCTATCTATCTATCTATCTATATTGTCTTACAGATATTCCGCAACCGCAAATCAAATGGTAAACCGATATTGCCCATTACTTCTAGTATTATGCGTTTGTGCTGATGTTTGCAACCCCCAAAAATATTGGTCCTTCACCTACCTTTAAGTATACCAATCGACTCAGAATCACTTTCTGCCCTAGCCATTGCGTCTGCCAGTATGCCGGAGGCATCGGTCAGAAAAATTTCATTCCTTCTTAGCCTTTTTAATTCTTGGTTTTTTAAATCCTGGATTATTTATCATTGAGTCTGATGATGCTGGTGGGAACACAACCATTCTTTTTAAACATTGTATAAAGCCAATACGAATAGAGATATACTTAAGATAATAACAACAATTTAAAATAAAGATACAAGTAAACAAATTTATTGAGTCTTTTATTCAGTTCAAGATCTGAAACAATTCCACTCCAGTTTTAGATCAATTCTCTTCAATTCTGTATAAAGCCAATACGAATAGAGATATACTTAAGATAATAACAACAATTTAAAATAAAGATACAAGTAAACAAATTTATTGAGTCTTTTATTCAGTTCAAGATCTGAAACAATTCCACTCCAGTTTTAGATCAATTCTCTTCAGTTCTAGTTCAGTTTTACTATACTACTACTATAGGCAAGACAAAACCCCTTCAATGAAGTTGAAACTTCAGAAAATTATGAAATTAACTTTCGTAGGAAAATTGTTTAGAATTTTTTTCTGATATTTTGATGAAATATTTATCTCAGATCCAATATGAGGTCATTCTCAGATTCAGCTTAAGTACTAATCTTGAATGTAAAATTTTTGCAGCTCTAGGCCTCAAGACCCCGATATAATACCAAAAATTGTTAAAAATAAAAAATTTTCGGGAATTTTGCTGAAATATTGGTCCCAGGTCCATTCTGAGTCCATTTTTGGATTCAGCATGGGATTTTACCAGAAAGGTGAGTTTCCAGCCAGATTCGGCCAGTAGTTCGCGAGTTTGAAGCAAAGCAAAAAAAAATCAGAAATTTTGATCAATGTTGGACCTAGGACCCATACTACAACAAAATTTCAAATTTATTTTTTTGTTTGCTTCAAACTCGAAAACTACTGGGCGAATCTGGCTGGAAACTCACCTTTCTGGTAAAATCGCATGCTGAATCCAAA